GACTGGTAAGTATAAGGGTGTCTATTAACGGCCAGTGGACAAGATTCTAATTACCAGGTTTTTCCAATAGCGTTCGCCGTTGTCGATGCAGAGTCTGACCAGACATGGAGGTGGTTCTTTGAGAAGTTGGTAGACATTATTCCAGATTCCTCTGATCTTACTATTATCTCGGATAGGCACGGTGGAATTACCAAAGCTAAGGTGCATGTCTTGTCCATATCCAGAGAAATGTTCACGGTAAATACAAAGGTTCCGGTCATGAAGGGTTGGTCGGAAAGGCTGGTCAGAAAGGGTTGGTCGGAAAGGCTGGAGAAGCGTTCACAGTTTCTAATTTCTAGAAACTATACGCAAGGCTGAAGGATGTTGATTATCGTTGTTGGGAGTACATGGACTAGATCACACTTTTCTGGTCAGAGGTATAATATGACCTCCAGTAACATTGCGGAGTCTCTGAACAATGCACTATTCGCTGCAAGAGACAGTCCAATCGTTGCAATGCTAGAATTTATCAGGCGAATGTTAAGTAGGTGGCTTGAATGCAGAAGAGAGAAAATTCAAAAGATGGATGGTGACATTCCAGAAGAAGTTGACAAGTTAATGAACCTTCAGCTTGAAAAATCTGCTGTACTATCGGTTCAAGGCATTTCTTTGTGGGAGATTGAAGTGAGTTCTGAGTTTGGTGTACGGCGGCTTGTTGATCTCCTAAAAAAAACATGCTCATGTCTAGAGTTTCAGACATTGAAATACCCTTGCCGACATGCAATGGCCGCGGCTAGGCTTCGGCAAGTGGAGTACAGTAGTTTGGTTGATCCAATTCTTAAGAAATCAATTTGGAGTGCAACAGTTTGTGGCAAAATCCTACCAGTGCCTGACCCTGACGACATTCGTATCCCAGCAGAGGTGCGTGACCTGAATATTATGCCACCTAAGTCAAAACGTCAATCAGGAAGGCCTACGACGAAGAGAAAACTTTCAGCAGGAGAGTATCCTTAGGTTAGTGTACACTAAACCATTATTTTTCCCCAGTCATACTGATTACTGATTACTGATATACGCTGTTGCAGGTTGCGAAAAAAAAAGAAGCCAAACAAATGCTCGAGATGTGGAAATCCCGGCCATAACCGGGCAAAATGCAAGGAACCATTGGGTAGACCGGGTGTGGCTTTTTTGTGTCTTTTGTTGTGTTTAGGAAAGAGCGAGCCACATTGTTTTTTGTGTGTCTCTTGTTGCTTTTTTTTTGTGGGGATCTCGCTTTGTTTTTCGGTTTTGTTTCTTGCGTACACTATGTTTCCCTATATTTTAACTTGGAAAGGCATGAACTATGTTATATTTGTTATGAAATTTATGATGTTTACTGGACAGGGTGTACACAGTTTGTGTACACCTGTGACGGTGGACACAATTTGTGTACACTGTGATGGTGGACAACATGAATCAGTTTACATTATATGATGTATGCGCATTATGGCTTATGTATAAGTTTACATTTATATGGTGTACGCATATAAATTTAGGTGTATGCACATTATGGCTTATGTTTAGGGTTTAGGGTT